TTGTAAAACTTATTTACATTTAGTTGCTATTAAATTACTCAATGTGTGAATTAAGAATCGTAGATGCTAGATGACAATCAAAATTTAATTAAAAATACAAATGGCTGTGTCTAAATTGCATTCGAGGCATATTTGTTAGTCTCTATTGCGAACATGGTTTTGACGTAAAATATAAATTACTAAAATCTATAAAAACTTTCAAGCTTTTCGAATGAAAACTTTCATTGTTTTTGATCCCGTGTGAGCAGACGGATAGTCCTTATGGACCATTACTCTACGGAGTAGGGTGTGTTGTAAGAACTTATGACAAATTCTTGTCAACAAACCATTCAGGATTGATATTCCTTTGAGGCAGGCTCCTTTGACACATAGGGGTCTTGACACCAGATGACCTGTCCAAAAAAATTGAGATCTCAATTTTGTCTGCAAGTCTTGCTCGTTTCGCTGGTTTCGCTTTGATAGGTATTGGTTCATTTTGAAACAAATGACTCAACTCAAGTCCGCTGACTGTTCTTTCATGATAAATTCACGATCCATCGCAAGTACCAATATCGTAAACGCACTGTGAGAAGCTTACTTAAAGCTATCCGATTCTGCTGCTGGGCTAGATTATGCGTTTCAGCCTATAACTATCCTTCTTGCGGGACGATTCCATTACACAATTTCGCCCACATTTTATCATGCAATCTGCACTGTATACAATGCAGATTGCATTGTATCACGAAGAGTCAGCTAAATATTTCACTGCCTACAAGTCTTCTTCTGTAACTGCCGCTAAAAGGCGGCTACGCCTTTCTTAGTCCCCCAAAGTTACTCTACCGTGCTTACATTCGTTGAGTCAGCAGTCAACAAACACTTTAATAGAACTTTGGTTTCGAATGCCATTTTTCGAATGCTTTCAAATAATACTTCTGATTTTTATCGTTAATTGAAATCGTACAAAGTCATCGCGCAAAAAACTTCTCATTGTAGTGTCATTTTTTTAGTGAAACAGAATATTTTAAGTATTCTCATAAGAAATGTCAATGTATATTTAAAAACAAAATTCAACAAAGAAATACTTCTTTGTTGAAAACAAAATGTTTGCCTGACCTGATATTATACAGCTAGGAACACTACCAGATAGCCGGAACCAGTACTGAAAATTTCATGATCGTTTGTTTTTGATGTATTGTACAACGACATGCATAGAATACCGTACTTCACGAACGCCTCTTATATCTATATCTTTCAGATAAGTACTATTCTACTTATGCTGAAACTGAAAAGAAAATATGTTGTATAAACGAGTCACATTTCGGTAACATATATACGAGAACGTTAAATTGAAACACCAATTCAATGCGTTGCTGCAGGTAACGATACAGCGCGTCAAGAAACGTCTCGTTAAAATATTTTAATGATGTCCTTTCCTTTAGCGCCGACACGAATCCAAAGACAAAAATTCAAAAAGCTGGCCCCAAAGACAACTTTCTATACCGCGCCGAACTCTCGGTAATTACAAGGACGGCTCGTTTTGAATATTAATGATAGCGAATGGCGCTCCAATGAAAAATATTGTTCTGCAAAAGGAATTCGACGTTCATGAAGAAAATACGCGAGAAACATAAAATAAACAAGTTAATCTCTCTCTCTTTTCTTTCCTCCAAACGGGATGATAATGGATTTGAAATTAAGAAACCGGCAGTTTAGATTATTACTGAATTCGTTTTCACTTTTAATCTGAGAGTTTTATAAAATATAACGGAAAGGAAAAAAAAAGTGACAGATTTTAATGGATAAGTAAATCCAAGTTTCACTCTAATTGTTACAGTGTCGTTATACAGATCTTAGTAAAACTTGGTGACATTAATTTATATTATGAATTTTATGTATGTTATGGTACATATTGAGTAAACAGAAACATTGAATGATAATGCGTTGTAGAAACTACCTTTAAATAATAAATAAAGTGTCATATCATGCTGGATGCACATCTGTCATTTGTATATACTACTTTTTGGACGATCGCATACACATCGAATAGCAAAACCGACCAAAAAGGAAATTGCTATAATTATTTGGCTGCCTGTACTAAGTTTAACTTTAATTTATCCAGCTTATAACATTTAAATTGAAGTGTATATAATAATTTAATATTATTTTTACACCCAAGAGCACCAAAAACCTTTTCTATAAAATAATGAAGAATTTTTTTTATTTAACGGAGGAAACAAATAAATTACATTGAGCTCGTCTGTATTCGATTAAAATTTTAATTGTTTGAGCTTTAGGTAGTTTGGTCATAAAATAATTATTTCATACAATAATTTTATACCTACACCTAATTATTAAGAGAATTTTTTTAACAGAATGAACTGTAAATACATGGATTGTATAATTTTCAGAGAATTTTCAATGTTGACAAAAAATTTATTAATATTCTTTCATGAAAATTACGTAAACAAAAAAAACATTAATTGTATGTAAAATTTCATTATTGAACAGAAATAAAAATGGAGGTGCTCATATCCATATTTTGTAACTTAGATATGTCTTATTAATTTTGTAATGGCAAACAGATACTTTTAATAGTATAGTGACATTCTATTTATAGGTAAAAAAATTATCACGCATTAAACTATACGTATAATTACTATCTATTTACTTATACTCTAAAAATCGTCTAGCGATTTTGTAAATAAACATCGATATATTTAACTTTGTAGTTTCTTTAACAGACAACGTTATTAACAATGAGTTGTACAAAACAACACACATTGATGTATGCCTTATAAGTTCTGCAATTTACGGCAGACAGCGTTAGTAATATAATAACACTATAGTTAAAAAAAGTATTACAGAATGTTGTATTTTTTAATTATTTTTTCATAAAAACATATTAATTATAGATAACAAATCTAGACATGAATTTAAATTATAATTTTAAATTCCAAATCTTAAGGTGTAATGGTTTCAATAAGTATACCACAAAAATATATAGATTGTGGAATTGTGAATAAAACTGTTTATTTTAAAATTACACTATGACGGACGCACAAACAGATACATGAGTAATTTTATAAGGGGTTCCATTTATTATTCGGTCGTATCCAACCATAAAAATTTTAAATTTTTAGGTGTATTTCTGAAAGCTACGTCTGCTTACACAATAAATCATAACACACAAACTCATACTTCGACTTTTATGTTTCCTTAAAGAGCTTATTCATTAATTTGTACAGAAGGAATACTAAATGATTGAGTTAATCTATACTAAGTAAAACAAAAATATAGATCTATATATTTTATATTCCAACGTATCGTTCCTTAACATGTAAACCATATCCTTGCTCCCTTAAACCAAATAAGCTTGTATTACAGTATGCCCTCGTTTCTTTCTACAGCACGGACTCTCGTCAAGTTATGAAAAGCGGTCGCATAAATAAATAAAAAACACCTCTCTCCTCAGCAAGTATCAAGCATCAAAGCGAATTATATTGAATGAACAACTTATACGTGACATCAGCAATTAATAAGCAGTTGTGTCAACAACGGTACGACCCATGAACTAGTCGAGGCACAATTATTCCGGTAACAGTGGCAGTGGGCCGCGCGCTTGGACACCGGCCAGCGCTCTCTCAGTAGCCGTATATACACCTCATTACTTTTGTACTTGGGGTTTTTTTTATAACTTTATTTTACATATAAAACATTCGGCCAAGCGCGAGTCGGACTTGTGTATTTCGTGTTTCTTGCCACCACACACCGTATTAATAAAAAATTGGTTGCCTGTAAAGTCGGTATACGGGCGAAAGTTTTACGTGACAACGACTTTGAGTGGTAAAATCATTTTAATGTGAATATTCATTCGTATAGTAGGAAGAAGGATGAAATAATAGTAACAATTTAAAACATTTATTTATACAAAGAATTATATTTAAAACATTAATTTATACAAAGAATCTCGCACTGAATTTCATATTAACAAAATTTTATTTTTACCTTTACACATACATACGTATTTATATACAAATATACATACAATAACTTGCAATACATTTCGCTCTTAGGCGGGCTAACTGTGTTCGAGCGGAGGGACGCGTGCCTTTCACTTTTATGTCTGTCTCTCGCTCTTAGGCGGGCTAACCATGCCCGAGTGGAAGGGACGCGTGCTCTCACTCGCTCTCATTGTGAGCGCATAACGTGAGCGGAGCGTAACGCAGTTTCTTGAAGTGTCACCCGGCAAACCAATTTATAAGACGTTGTCACGTCAAAAGGTTTTTTTGTTTCGTTTACTACGGAATCTTTCGAAAGACCCCGTTCACACTTGACCTATTTTTGTTATATTCTTTTTACATCGTATTGTGCACTATTGCCAAACCATACTTGACGCTTGTATATATATGCATATATATTACCGTTTTAGGGCATAAGGAAAAAAACTCATGAGGTGTCTTTGGGACACCCGATTGGAACGAAGTTCCTTTCGCTGTATGTAAATACAGTTTACGAATTGAATGATAACAATGGAATAAATTAAAATGTTTGAAAGTAAATAAATAATATAATAAGTGAATAAATGGTAATAAATATTTGTAAGTTGTAAATAAACATTTTTTTATTAGATAACTATTAAAATTCTGAAAGAAAAACACTAAACAGCGGTATCTGTGTTATTTATAAAAGACTTGGTTAAATTCGTCAATTTGCATAATTATATAATTCTGCAATCAATAATAGGTATTTATATAAGTATTTATTTAGTGAAAGTTTAAAATTGAATACTGTCCAGAACTGAAACATTTCTAGAGTTTCTTTTAATATTTAGGGGAAAAAAAAGGGAATTGTAAAGTATATACAAGCACAATATTAAATAAATTAACAACCTTTGAAAGTAATGAAACAAGAAATACAGCAAAAAGAATGAAGGAATGGCAAGAAAATATTATAATAAAGATTCTAATTAATATTTTCTTATAAATTACCATAATAAATGTACAACAACAATAAAAAAAACAAACATCACGCGGTGTTCCCAAGCGGTCGCCCATCGAAGTACTGACCGTTCCCGACGCCGCTTAACGGCGGTGATCGGACGAAAACCGGCGCATTCAACGTGGTATAGACGTTTGCAAACAAATTTAAAAAAGCTACAACTACAAGGAGCTTCTAAAGCAACAGCGGCCAGAATTTTCCGTTGCACTTTTTTTCGTGCAGCGCCCATCCGCCGAGCGCCCGAGGGCAATGTGCGATAAGAAAGTTCATCTTTCGAAAACATTGCAAAACAAGCGAGTTTATTGTATAGGTATCCCTTTTAATATTTTTACTTTTAAATTTTTATTGTATGTTTTATTAAGTATCCGTCATAATAACACACATTCAAAAGTTCAAAAGATGACCACCCTTCGAAATTATAACGGACAGGCGACATAGACGTAATTATAGAATCACATTGGCACACTGTGGGGAAGCGGTCCTAGAAAGCAATGAAATCTCTCTAACCTACATAATTTTAAATACCATAAAAGTATTGACGCCTGTAAATAAATACTTTTAATAAATAAATACAATAGCACACTTATTTCGAATATACGGCTTAAAAATAATATGAACTATTAAAATTGAAGTCGTAAGCCAAACTAGTAGTATCGACTTTCAAGTAGATAATTTACTTAACGCTTTTAAAGACAAGTTTAGCCTTTTTCACTTTAATTTTGAAATCCGGTAACAGCCAATGCCGTGGCAGATTTTCTACAAGGCCAACTAGACGCGAGTCTAGGACTTCCAGATAATAAGTGTGGCTAATCGTGGCAAATATACAGATGCGAACCTAAAACGATACTAATAGAGCTGAGAAGAGAGCGGTTGGTGCTGTACGACCTAAAGCGGCCAAAACTGCTAGTCCGTCTCTGAGCCAGTGATATTTCTTAGGTACTGCCGGTAAATGATGACGTCTTATTGTAATTGAATTACAATATCAAAATATATAACGTTATCATTCATTTTAAATTTTCATTTAGTTGTATAAAAATTTCCATATATAAATAGTTGCTCCAATTATATAACATCTCTAGATCTCAGTCGCATCGCTCCTAATGAAGCGAATACGAGCACAACCCACACCAACGCCACACTTTGATCCGGACCGTCCGACGCTCTGCATTAATGGTGTTATTCCCTACATCTGGAATATTTAAAATCATCGTACGTACTTAAATGTATTCACACAACACACACTAAATAACATGCACACATACGGACATCCCTCTTGAAATGGTCACAAATCTTTATAGAACCCCAAAACTTCGGCATCTGATATAATCTCAAAAAACTTCCCTCATTTTACGAAATTTTTCAATTTTTTGTCGGAACATTGAAAATGTATTAATTACGACTGACCGCTGATATGATATCACCACTTTTATAATGGAGTCTCCTTTGATATAAATCTATACAAATCTGTGAGTAGAGTTGTCGACAAAAAATTTTATTATAGGGAATTAAAAAAGGAAAGCTAAAAATCGATAAAGATAAAACAGATCTTAGGTTGCACATCTATCTTGCACCCGCTTCTGTAATAATTTACGAACTCCACAATAAAATCGACAAATTTGTTTATTTGGTCATCACTATCCGTTATGCGATTTCGACGTCGATAAGAGGTCAAAGGAAGGGTTAAATTCAATTAAACGGCGTTCAAGAAAATACGCACCGGCTGTAAATTCAATAAACCTTAGTATTTTAAATATAAACCTTTGGATATATGTTTCAAGTGATAATATACAGATGCCATGTTGGTCCTTTAATAGATACTTCGATGGCAAGTTCAAATTCATTCAATGCGTGATGTTAAATTTTTCAGAATGTCTTTTTCTACGAGATATAATCCAGAATGAGAAAACCCACAGGAAAACCCATTACTAAGACAGATTTAAGGCTATGGCCCGAATCTATTCGACGTAAAAACACAGATGAGGGGTGAAATAACCGTTTGTCAATGAAAACCAAAATGGAAACTAATATTGACCTCATTATTCACAACCCGTTTGTATACTTTTCTCTCTTTTCGATTCGACCGAAACAAACCAATTATCAGAAAAATACATTTGTGTGGTGTATGCTCCATGTTCGCCACAATTTCGGGGAACAAGAAAGCATCCGTCCGCCACGAATAAACGGGCAAAGTTGTAATGTCACAGCTGCGCCGCCCGCGCCGCCCGCGCCGCCCACGCCCTGGCCTCGTCGCCGCGTCCGCGTAATTTCCCTGCCCAAAGGAGTTCATCTCGAAAAATGTCCGCGGCCTTCCGGAGTATTGTTTTTCCAACTTCGTCAGCGTCAACTTTACGCCAATTTCGCGTTTCCTTAATGGCCGTTTTACCGGCGCTTCCGGTCCGCCCTTTACAATAACCGAACTCTCTTTTATTATACGAACACTTTGCAGGAACCTTCGTCGTACTTTGTGCGCTTTCGTTTGTATTTACGAGAATAATTTCGAGTCGATAATGTTGTTTGTAGTTGTATCATCACAGATTTCAGTACGTAAAATTTGAAGGCTAGTCGAATGCTTAAAACTTGTTTCATTATTACAAAATAAATAACAAATTTATAATGCTCCTTGCTGTCAAATGTCTTAAATTTTATCCCGAAAAAAGTGCTATGTAGAAAATCAGTTATTTGAAATATGGCTTTTTTATCGTCAGTATAAATAGTTGTTTTGATCACTTTTGCTATTTTCTGTTTAATTTTATTTACTCCTTTATTTCAATATAAATATATGATACAACATCGAGGGACAAGAGTTTTAATATTTAACCGGATAATTATTTACAAAGTTTTAAAACAAAAAATCGCATTGGCTAGGATTCAACGAATAACAAATTTCTGTAAGTTATTTTCATTGACCAAGATGGATCTAACTACACCAAATATCATATCATAAAAAAGGGAATTTTAATCGTTTTTTATACATTATACAATGTAACTGAATTCTAGTTTTTTCTTTCTTTTATATATATATATATATATATATATATATATATATTAATATAATATAAAAATATATTTGATATTTTTATATATTTATGTACTGGTCTTAATTTTAAGGAACATTTATTTTTATATTCTGTAATTTAATATAAATAATGCCAGACCATAATTATAACTTAAATCAAGGCCTGAATATTTACCTCCAATAAATCGCGTAGAGTACTAATATCCTATCAGTACTGTACTATAAAAACGGTTTTCGTTATTTTCAATTTTTTTTTCTGCAGATGTTATCATCGAGCCCATCTTCTTCCGTTGTACCTAGAAAGTTTAACCAATTAAGGGTTGTACAAGGACATTTTTAAATTTTATGAAGATGCATCCAATCGGACCGAACTAAAAGTTGTTTTTCTGATTTAAATTACTTCGCGGGACATAGTTTTCTTGCAACAAAGTGATACCACTACGTTCATAACATTAAAAAATATTTTCAATGCCAGAGGAACACTGAAAGCTCTACAGCAAGCGAAGAAAACGGAGAACAGAAGATAAACGGAAGAAAGTTGCCCTTTGTCGCGACATTTATTGACACATTATAGTATCTATTATCTATGCTGACTCCAATTTCTGGCTAGAGGTTGCACGAATACCAGCTGGCTCTACACTCCCGTCACTCCTAATCCAGACTAGAACCTACACAACCCCCTATAATTACGCTACCTTCAGTGTATCGAGATTTATCCCTTTCAGTCATTGCGACTGGCTGAAGGTTGAGAGAATGGTAATGATGATTAAAACAATACACTATGCAATAAACACCAATGAAAAAACCTGTCATTCTGAAAGTGAAAACATGAAACTCATAATACTTCAATTTTGTTGTCCTTTATTTAGCTTCTAAAAGTGCCATTTATAAATACATTATTCTTTTTTTTTTATTAAACAGACACTACATACAGTTTACAGATACATCATCTCTTTATAAATATACGATTAATAAATCTCATCGAAATTTATAAATGACGTAGCTGCGCGTAACACGGAGACGGCGCGTGAGGCGGAGCGCCCTCGCTGAAGGCTGCCCGCGGGCGACGGCGGGGCGGAGCGGGGAGGCGCGGTGCTCTTGGTCAGGGTGCGCGGGTTTAACGACTCGCGCCATTCGCTAGCCATCGCTTCCACGAATGTGACCTGGGGAAACACAGAAAGGTGATAATGCCGTATGTTTGTGTATGGTTTCGTTGCAATTAACCCTTATTGTTAGATAGACGGTAACACCGATTCCATGGTTCTTGTGAAACTTGATAATAGATTATTGTGTTCATGGAAATTCTCTTCTACCATTCCATGGGGATGATCCGCGAAAAAAAAGTAATCAGTCGCTCATTCTATGAAACATGGGATTTCGAAGATAATTAACGTTATATAACAAGAAGAATAGGTGCTTCTGTAGGATGTTTGCAGATGATACTTCATTTTTATTCAAAGTTAAAAGACAACGACGCGTTCATAACGATGAGAACATCGATATTTCCATTATCGGAGGTAGAAAAATGACTTACTATAACTAATATATTTTTAATAAAAATTCATATGTAACATTTCATTTCCACGTATGTAAAATATGAAACTAAACCGTTTCAATATGGAACGAGATAGATTTTATTATTAGTAATACGTGCCGAGCTTTCATTGTGTTTCATATACACAAGTTGACAAAAAATTTTACCAAAAATTTTAATATTATGTAAATCTGTCATCTCTGGCAGACTGGCTCTGTGTCTACCTGATAGGCTGCGACGTGAAAAGCTATCAGTTTCAAGGTACTGCTGATATAACCTTCGAACTGAATAGCGACTCACAGGAAATGTTGAAGCCACTTATCGCTGATTTGAATTCGTTTCAAGTAAACTAACAATTTGGACGGCTCGAATTTCGCTAATATCTATTTAAGGGAACCTGATAGACGCTTTCGACAAAAAAGTAATAAGATAAGACCAATTAGTATACAAAAATGAAAGCAAAGCGAAACAGTATGTAAAATTAGTAGCATTTTTTTTCTTTGCAAAAGTCTGATTGCCAGCTTGGGCTATTATTTTAGTGCACTTACGGTTTTTGGTATTCCCATTAATAAAAGACAATGGACAA